AATCTTGGCCATTGCTTTCTCCCCAAGTCTTGCCACCAGATGGTGACATGTGGCACCAAGTTCAGCCATATTTCACCCTATAAATAGAACCTCTCCCACCCTCATTTTCTTCATATCTTTCCCATTCTTTCTTCTCTCTACACTCTCTCTAAACCTCCCAAAACTCCCCTAGCGCTAGAAGAAAGCCCCGGAGCGCTCGACGGCTCCGAGAAGAAGAGCTTTCGGCTCGGAAGTTCTGCCCCTGCAGAGCCCGACTTCTAGCCAAACCCCTCGTAGGTAAGATACGCCTACGCTATTTTAAATATAGTAATGTTATTAGGACCTTATAATAAATATTTGAGCTATTATTATGAGTTATATAAGTGTCGTTATAATATATTTTTAACCACTCGCGGTACGGGGAATCTAGTTTGGAGGGCCGCTTGGGTTGCTGGATTTCAAAAGTGTTTTATGCCAAAATGATCCTGCCCTCCGGTGTTCTATGTCTGGCCCCTGTCTGTACATAGTGGGTGAAGAGTATTATCTAACGCTTATATAATAGTAATAATAGCTAGACTATTAATTAGTCTCGTCGAACCTTAGACTAAACTCTAGTGGTAATGATACTAGGTTTTGTCAAGGGAAAATTATTTTAAGAGTAACGAAGCGCTGTCCGAGTACCGAGTCACCACCTTATCAGGTGAGTGCATAGTTACTTTCATCTTACACATAGATATGATGTATTTTATATAAATTACGTGCTATGTGTGCATATAACATGTGAACTTGCTATCTATGCTGGATGAACGATTTTATACATGTTTTAAATGATTTAAAATGTATATGTATTTTATATCTACAAATATGTTGGGTATAACATGGGTAGATGAAGGATGAGATATAAAAGATGATATGAGTGAACATTGGCAGCTATGGACTTAGTGCCTATTGAATAAACGTTGGTAGCTATTGACTTAGTACCTGATGGATAAACGTTGGTAGCTATGGACTTAGTACCTGATAGATAAACTGGTAGCTATGGACTTAGTACCTATTATATAAACACTGGTAGCTATGGATTTAGTACCCGATGAATGAACTTTAGCAGCTCTGGATTTAGTGATTTACAAATGAGCATTGGCAGCTATGGACTTAGTGCATGTCTTATAAACCCTGGAAGCAATGGACTTCGGAATGAACGAATGCAAGATAGAATACTCTTAGGGTGGACCCTTAAGAGTGAGGAAGATAATGGGGATGAGTAATTGGGTTGATTGTTTGTTGTTTAAAAATAAATAATTATATTATTGTGGGTTGAAAACCCTATGTACTCACCAGGTTTCCCAACCTGACCCACTCCAGCTTATTTGTATCACATGTGTCGATACGAAACTACTTTACACTGAGAGATTTAAAAGAGATGTAGATCACTAGTGTAAATAAATGTAAGTTCTGTTTATGTTTATGTTTCTGTATTGACGATGACATCCCAATATTTTGAAAATGAATAAAAATACATCGATGACATCCCAACCTATTTATCATGTTTTCTGGGAACAAAGTCCGCAACATTTTTATTAGAAGAGGTACTCTGATTTTATAAAGGTTAAACAAAATCGGTCTTTTCTGGCCGTGAAAATGGGGATGTCACAGAGAATTTTAATATATATATATATATATATATATATATATATATATATATATATATATATATATATATATAAATTTAGCAACCCTAGTCTATTAACTTATATGTAGGGCGTGTTCGGCACGAAGCGTTTCGGAACGTTTGAGAGCTTCTAGCGTTTGGCAAAACGCTCTGTTTTGAATAAAAATATTCGTTTGACACTACAAGTTTTTAGCGTTTAATTTAAACAAAACGTTCCAAATCTAAATGCTACTGAATGTAGCATTTGAATGTAGCATTTAATAAAACGCTACAAACTACAAGCTACCTGCTAGTAGCTAATTTTGCCGAATAGGCCCGTAAACTATCGTAGTTTTTTGTAGTTTGTTCAATTTGTTTTCTTTTCTAAGCAAATTATTTTTTCACATCAATTAAATTAGACACTTGTATATTTTTCACAAATTAATTTTTCACATCAATTAAATTAGATCGTCGTAAGTTTGAATCATGAATTTGATACTAATAAAAATTTAAAAATAATAAAATAATTCTGAAAAAAAAAAATAATAAATAAAACTCACATTATGCGTTCTTTGAAACAAAAAGTGTTAAAACATCAATGTTAATTTCAAAACAATTCAATTCTTCAAATCAACTCAACCTATGCATCCCATTTATATTAACATGGGAATACACTCTGTATGAAAGTGAAAGAGTTTTCAGATCACCCATCCACAAAACACATACATTCATAGAGAAGTTAGACTAAAAGAATCAGCAATCTTATAAAAATCCTGTTTAAGCATAGGCCATGCCGATTCCGGTGTTTGCGCATTCAGAGTGAACAAACGTCCCTCACGAGCACAACAAACCGCCACATTATGCCGGCTAAACGACGGACTTTCAACTGCAAATTCTAACACATAATACTTCACTTTCTTCACTTCATCTTCTCTAAGATTTGTTTTTATGAGTCTTCCTTTGATCTCCGGCCTCCGGCCAGATCCTGTAATCTTTCTGACGATTGCTTCTCCCACCTCCTCCGGACCTCCAAATGCTTCAATTCTATCAATAACCCAACAAAGATAGAGTCTGAATTTTAGCATGTTTGATCTTTGTTTAGGGAGTGGATTTGAAATGATATGATACGACTTACGAGAAATCAAGAGCAACAGGGGAGACGACCACACTGACGTTGAGCTCGCCGCTTGACCCTGGTGGACCGAAGGCCACAATCGGTTCGTTTACATTTCTCCGGCGGTTCACCGGCGGCAAATCAAGTGATCTTTCCAGCTCCGCCTTACCAGCTGCTCTGTACAACAACGTCTGGTCTCCAACCCAATTTGCTGGGTATATAAATTCTGGGCATCATTGCAACACAACAATCATAAAGTCAAATTGTAAGGTCAACGAACTGATTTTCAACATCAAATTTACTATCAATTTACTATATTTTAGAGAAAACGCTTACAATGGAATTGAAGTTTTGAAAATGTTAGAAATCGAAAAGTTGGGTTTAAGTTTTGAAATGAAATCCATGTTCGATTTTCGATTGAATTTCATATAGTTTTGACTCGATAGTTAACATAGATATATGAGCTTAACTAACCAAATCCTTCTTCAGATTTGATGCAGCGGCTGTAACCTTTGATGGGATAAAGCACATCAAGTTTGAGATTCCGGGCAGCCTCCGGCGACAAACCAAGAAGGAAACTAGTTGTACCGGCGAAGTTGGCACCGACGGCAACTAGAGAAGCTGATCCGATCCCAGTTAAAAGCCGCCGTCTGAATGCCGTTGCTAATGGCAAGAATTGTTCCGCCGGTAATTTGTTGGACGGGATTGCAGTCTCCGGGAACTCATCTTTCCGGTCACCGGGATTTTGTTGGTTCATATAAGTCCGGTGGAGGAAGCTCTGATGAATGGACATTGTTCCGACTGTTGTTTTGTTCATCGGGTGTTTGAGCCAAGCTTATCTTCTGTTTGGCTGAGATTTTCGCCGTTTGCATAGAAACTGATCCACCCAACCAGATCATGCCACGTCATTTTATTTAGAAAAGAGCAAAATAATATTCATTTGAGGTATTTAAGTTTGATTTATTTTACCAAATTATTTTTTTAAGAGAAAATTGCAAATTTAGCCAAATGAACTAATTACTTTGTGGAAAATAACAAAAAAAAAAAAAATCAAAATTGCATTTTTAGCCACTAAAATCGCAGATGAGTATAATCCATCTGCGATTTCGTCATGCCATCTGCGAACGTACAAGTGGCTAAAGCACAGACGTGCTTTAGCCACTTGTACGTTCGTAGTTGGTTGTTTTTTTGTTCACTGTATATATACCCATTTTTCAGTCTAAAATCACAGATGGACTATGTCCATCTGCGATTTCCTCTCCTTTTGACCTACGATTTTGTGATTTTTTTTACTACGAAATTGATAGGTTTGACTACAAAACAACCTTATTATATATAAACTTTTTCAAAAAAATTAACATTTTTGTTGTTATTTTTATGGAAAATTTGTTTAAAACATCTTTAAGGAAATCGTCTGTGATATCATCCATGATAGCTCTAAGGAAATCGTAGAGAGAGAGAGAGAGAGAGAGAGAGAGTTTCTCCAAGAAAGAGTGAAAAATGAAGAAAAAAAATGTTTTTATACTAGATCCTACGAAATCGCGGATGGACTTCACAAAATCACAAATGGAAGGGCAAAATCGCAGATGGGTTAATCCATCTGCGATTTTAAGGGCTATTTTTTGTAATTTGAGTTTTTTTTTGCTATTTTCCACAAAGTAATTAGTGTATTTGGCTAAATTTGCAATTTTCTCTTTTTTTAATATGCATATTTTACTGAAATATAGTTATTTTTGGACTAATTTAGAGGGTGTTTGACTTAGCTTTTGTGGGGCGAAAGTCCTTTTTGTAAAATGACTTTTTGTAAAAGGACTTTTTATAAAAGTTGTTTTTTAAAATGTGTTTGGATTAACTTTTGAAGGGAAAAAGTCAAAAGTTAAAGTGTTTGGGTTAACTTTTAAGAGATAGTAGGGAATCATATGCTGTGAATGAAGAATTGATTAGGATAGATGGAGGGTATATTGGTAATTTAATACTTTTACTGTTGAAAAGTTGGGAAAAGTCACATAATCGTGACTTTTCAAAAAGGCTCAATTTACTCTATTGGAAAAGTCATTTCCAAAAGTCCTTTTCACTTGAACAAACATCTTTTTGACTTTTTCTAAAAGATAAAAGTAAAAGTCATTTTAAAAGTTAAAACAAACACCCTCTTAACATTCAAAAAAGATTGAAATTCAAATTAAATCATTCGGGTTGAATTCATATTTAATAGAAACATGATTCTTATATAAATTACCCAAATTAATATTTTACGGAAACATGATTCTTAGACAGGAAGAAGTCGTCGTGGGTTATACAGCTGGGGATAGGGCGGTACTGGCCGTACCGTCAGGAAACGTTACCATGAACAGCAGGCTTAACAATTTGGAGGCTTTATTCATTCGAACGGGTTGGTGAACTTGTGAGTTAATTCATATTCAAACTAATTTTGACAATTTAATGACATGCATACAGAAAGAAAAGAATTCATTCCTCCCGCCTACCACCTTTATCTTTTTGCATGTGATCCGTTTATTTATTTTATTTTATTTTATTTTTATTTGTTTTTGTTTTTGTTTTTGTTTTAATATAAATTTGTATAAATTTATGAAGATGATTACTCTACATTTCACTCAATTCTAATGTGTTTTCTCTGAGAAATTTTATAATCCACTTAATTCCTTCAGTTTTCTTTAATGTATTCCCGATTCAAAGTCAAACAAGCCAGTTCTAGCCAAATATGTAAATCCACGCAATGCGGTTCAAGTCAAGATAATCTAGTTTCTTCTCCGGGATTTCAAAACCCAAACTATTAGCAATACCGAAACTACCAGCAAAACCATAATTATCCACAATAATATTACTCGGTTCAACAATCTTACAACACATTTAAGCTTTCAGAGGAAACTCCTGGCTATAATCCATGTAATCAGTTTTCTTAAAGGGTTCCAGAAACCCAATTCCAATATTCTCAACCCAATAATTTCTAGTTCTGTAATACTCAGAACGTAGAATCTGACAGTTCTAGTAATGAGCCTGCTTCCGAAAGAAACGAAGAAGACGGCGAATTGCAACCCATTTCTGAGAAAGAACACAACTACACAGACCGCCAGAAGTCAAAGAAATTGGTGGAACTCAAAGAGTTGTCTTTGGCTAGGGCATATGTCGATTGTCTTCAAGGTAAACAATGTATAAATCAACAAAGGTTCGATGCATTTTGGGATCAGGTTCTAAAGCATTTTAATATTCAAATTGGAGGTTCATATCGGTCATGGCACCAAGTAAACTTAAATGGAAAAACCTGCAAAAAAAATGTAACACTTTCAATCGCATCTATAACCATAGGATGAATACTTTGGCTAGCGGGAGATATGAGGCTGATGTTTTAAAAGTTTCACAAAGCGAGTGCGAAGGACTATTAATCAGAAAGCTTTTCCTCATGCAAAAAGCTTGGGAGTGGTTGAAAGACCACGCGAAATGGGAGTTGGTTCCAAAAGTTTGTGAAAACTTATCGCCTCCTTCTTCAAAACAAACCAAAATATCTTCATCCAACACCTACACAACATCTTCTGATGCACATTATCCTCCTAGACCCCCTAATAACAACAATCGTTTAATGTTGAAGACTCATCACCTTAGAGAAAAATAAAATGAAAGAAATCAGCATCGGGATCATCAACACAACCTGATATGTTAGATCTCATCAACAAAATTGTCGGGATCAGCGTTGTAACACCCTGTTTCGGGTCATTCTATAATTTGGGTTCATGACCTGAGGATCAAGTATCATAACGGCTCAGGCCTTGTAACGGAGAGGTTTAGGCCCATTTGCATTGTGGATAATGTAGGTTATAGGTACCGAATGTTCGGTTCGCGTTTTGGAGCCCAAGGGTATAGCGGTAAAGTGATAGTTTGGGCCTTTTATGAATTTTGGATTTAGGCTCGGGAAATTATAAGGCAAAGGAGAGTTGATAGAATTGTAGAGCTTCTCATTACCTTTCTGTGGATATAAAGAACGTCGAAATCGGACTTAGAACGAAGAAGTTATGTCCTTCAGAAGATTGGTGGTTCTAGACCCTAGCCGAGTACGTTGGGCGTACGCTATGAGTATGTCGGGCGTACTGGCTAGACATCAGGATCGCGGAGGCTTCAACGCACACGGGATGTACGTATGGTTAAACGGGGTGTACGAGCAGCAAGGGAAAACCCTAAAATTTAGGGTTTGTGCCCTATTTAATCACCTTAAATCACTCATGGACCTTCTTATAACCAGCATCCACCTCTCCAAACCCTATGAATGAAACCCTAATGGCCATTTGAGTGTTTTGAGCTTAGAAGTGAGCTTTGGAGGTATTTTTGGTGATTTTGAAGGAAGATGAACTCTTGGAAGTGACATTGTTGTGGCTAGAGCTTGTAGATCCAGAAACATCACCAACATGGAAAGCTTTTGGAGGTATAAAGCTCTTAACTTGATGGCTCATTTTGTGTAACGCCTGGTTTCCGGTATGATTTTTATTTCAAATTAGTGCATTTCTCCTGGAGGACTCGTTGAGTTGGAAGCCTCAACTCGACGTGTTGAAGTTGTTTTGGCTGCGAATTTTAATGAGTCAACTCGAAGAGTTGAGGTGCCTCAACTAGGCCAGTTGGCAGCAGGGGAGGAAACCCTAAATTTAGGGTTTTGCACCCTAGTTAAATACCTTAAGTCCCAAATGTTGGCCTTATTTCCAGCCTCCATAGCCCCTAAACCTAATCTCGAAACCCTAGAGCATCCTTGAGTGTTATGAGCTTATTGTGGGTGTGTTTTGGTGTGTTTTAAGCTCATTGAAGGAAGAGAAGCTTGGTGCAAGTTGGTGATTCAAGTAGGAGCCTTCAGATCTTGGTTCTTTGCACCATTTCCAGCATATTTCGGGTATAAAGTTCTAACCTTGATTAATATTTGATTAGATCTATTTTTGGGTTAGTTTAGATACTTTTAGTCATATTTGGGTGGTTGATGGGGTTGTAGGTCGTCCCAAGTGCTATTCTTTCAGATCTATGATCCTCATGAGCTCTTTTGGCATAAAGGTTCCAACTTTATGGTCTTAAGGGCTCCATGCATTCATTAAGTCCATCTTATGGCTTCTTTTGAGCATTTGAGCTTCTTCTAAGCATGCTTGAAGGTAAAGTTAGAAACTTTACGTGGTCCTTTGGCTTTTAGGGTCAGATCTATAATTTGGGGTTGTGCCTTTAGTGATTTAGTGCTTAAGTGATTAAGTCCTTACCCTTTTAAGCCTAGGGTTTGGGTTTTTAACCCATTTTGGTGGTTCTTAGGGGTAAAGTTGGAAACTTTACCCTTCTTGTGGCCATGTCAGTTAAGATATAAGTCATGAAGCTCTTAGTTTCGTTAAGGACGACTTAATGGATTAAGATGTTGAAATTTTGGCGAACTCGACGAGTTTATGGAAGAACTCGACGAGTTGGATCGGTTTCTCCCGACTTTGCAGACTGATAGATAAACTCGGCGAGTTTATGGATGAACTCGACGAGTTGAGTCAACTCGGATTGTTGACTTTAGCTTTGACTTTAGTCTTTGACCAAGTTTGACCTATAAGGGGCTTTTGGGCATTTTGTGCTAAAATTAAGGAAATCTTTTATGTTTAGGGGTCGAGTTGAGTCGATATTCGGAGTCGGGATCTGTTCAGCTACCTTTCTGTATTTGAGGTGAGTTTCCTTACCGGGTTTAGCGGGTCGAAGGCACCAAGGTCGGACCATGTTTTTATTATGTTGATAGTATGCTAGTTGTCTTCGTGACTCTTGCATGTGTTGTGTTTATATGTCTTCCGGGCTAAGGCCCGATGCCGGGCGGGGCCTGATGGATATCTTTATGCTATGTATCTATGTGATTATTGCATGTGTATGTGTTTATTTTGATATATGTTATTGTATGTTGGGTGGGGCCCGTTTTACCGAGCTCAGATCGATGTCGGGAAGGGCCCGATGCCGGACGGGGTCCGAAGCTGGGCGGGGCCCACTATATGTTTATTGTATGTTTGGTATATGGTATTTTGGGGGGAAACTCACTAAGCTTTGTGCTTACTATTTTTAGTTTATGTTTCGGGTACTTCCGGTTGTAAAAGGAAAAGCTCGGGATGACTGCATTGCACACACACCATTAAGATTCCGCTATGATGTTTTACTCTGATTTATGATAAATTGATACATTGATTTTATTCATGTGTTTGGATGTTATGGGAAAATACTATTTTATTTATTACTAAATTGAAATTTTTGGGACCATATTTTTGGATGTTTCAATTTGGTTAGATCTAGTTAGGTGTTTGTTTTTAAGCTTTTTATGGTCCTTTAAGCCATGCTTGGGAGTATGAGCTACTCCAGAAGCTAAGGATGATAGATCTTGGCATTCTTGGGGTCCATTGTTCATAAAAATGCAATCTTGGTGTGTTATATTGGACCATGCATGATTTAGGGTTCTTATTATGGGTTTTATTGAGTATTGGGTCTCATTAAGACATCCAAAGGAGTAAAGTTGCCAACTTTACGTGTTAAGACATCATTTAGGATCAGATCTGAGATTGGACAAAGTGCATTAATCGATTAAGCACTTAATGGCAAGTTTTGGGCCACTGCGGATATGATGGGCGTACTCAGCTTGTACGCAACGCGTACTGGCCAAAGCGGAGTACGTCGCGCGTACTCAGCAGCTTTGACTTTTGGACTACTAGGTTTTTGGGCCTTGTTGGGCCATTAGTCTTTATGACTTTGGGACATTGTTAGGATTTGGGCCTTCATAGATTTAGGCCCATAATGGGCTTTGGGTATCATTTGGGCCATATGGGCTTTTGGGGCCATTAGGTTGGGCCAAGATTATTGCGCCAAGTGAGGAAAGGGTAAAATGGTCTTTTACCCTGGGAGTTGGACAAATAAATTAGATTCCTCGTCATGGATTACGTCCCAATTATTAATTGGGGTGTTGTTTGATTGATTAGCGCAGGGATTTTTCCGGATCAGCAGTCCGAGCTTTTATGTGATATTCAACAATTCGAGGTGAGTCTCCTCACTATACCCGTGGGTCGAAGGCACCAATGTCGGCCCACTAGGAGATGATATGTTAGTTGTCTTTGTAACTATTGTATGTATGGTATGTACTGTATGTATACTGGACGGGGCCTGATGCCAGGCAGGGCCTAATGAGCGTGTTAGTATGTTAGTTGTCACTGTATTTGCGGATCGAAGGCACCAATGCCATTGTAACCACCGATGGTTCTAAGGTACTTATTTAATTTGATTATTTATTTATTTTGATTTTTGGCCTCGAAGTCATTGGACTTAACCATTTTGGACTCAAGGTGTGTCCTACGCGGGGTGTACCACTGTCACAACGAGCAAATTTGGCTAGGAAGTTCTATCCTTATGTAAGCATTATCAATAATTGTAACCATGACTTGAAAACATGATGTTTATTCAATAACAACAAAATTCCATCAAACACTGTATACAACACTTCAAATGGTCAACAAAAGATTGGAAACCCTAACAATCCCGGTTTAAGTCCATTATGGACCAGGATTTCCTTATTGGGCCTAATGGACCAATAAGCTTCCAATTTGACTATTTTGGGCTTAGGACCCTTAAATGGGCCCTAATTGGACCCACTCTCATGAAACTTAACATTTTGGGCCATAATGGATCCAAAATGAATTGGTTTACCTTAATGGGCCTTATTAGGCCATAACAAACCTAATAAACTTTAATGGGCCGTGAAACCCATTCTATCCTTTTAATTGGGCCGTGAACTATTTAATGAGCCCAATGGGCCGAATAATAATATTGGGCTTATGAAAATTCAATCAAATCAAAAGTTGGGCCCAACATAACTCTCTTCATGTCTCTAGGCCCATTCTCGGCCATATAGATAAAAAAAAGAAGAAAAGAGAAAGATATGAATTAAGGAGAACTAGACACCTAATTATTACATCTTGGATATCCATGCAAGTTCTCATGTCTCCAAGAAGCTATCACTTCAAGCTTTCTCTCCTCTCTCTTCTTCTTCTTCTAGGCCGAAGATCACAAACACACACACTTCACTTGAAAATTCTCTCAATCACTCTCAAGCACTTTTCTCCTCTTTTCCTCCAAGATCTCGAAAATTTGGCTAGAATTCTAAGGATCTTCATCAAATCATTCCAATTATTGGTAAGTTCTTGTCAAAACATAAGTATCTTCATCCACCTTAGCATGAAAAACTCTTTCTTACATAGTTTTATTCCATGATCACACCATAGAAGCTTCATAAACTCGAGATCCACAACAAAGGTGTGCTAAGACCCAAAAATCTCTTCTAATTCTTCTTCAAACCGAGAACAACTAAGCAATGTGAGTTCATACCCCTTGTTTTTGGTTTTTACATGATTTATGGGGGAGAATACAAGTAAAATGTGTAGATCCATGTGTTTTTGTATGATATGTGTGATTTCTTGAATTTATTTGATGAATATGTGTTAGAAACTTGATCTATTCGAGATTCTTAACCTTGTTAAGGAAATATGTGACCTAAGATATCTTATACATATTATTATCAACGCAAAAGTATTATACAAGTTCAAACTAAGTAAAACAAAACACAAATTCTATTTATGAACCATTTTTTAC